GCGCTTGTGCGGCCCAGAGGACGGTCGTCAACGTCAAAGATATCCAGGTAAGAAAATAAAACACCCCGGAGCGCCGCAACTTGGGAAGGTAAGAGGTCACTGGATATCATTTTGTCGAGGAATGCCTTATTTTGCGACGTGATGACAGGTTTCGTCGTGGTCTTAGTGTCAGGTGTAAAAGAACAAATCGAACATTCATCAAGGGTGGAAAGATCGGCTAAAGTGATGCCTTGGGGAAGCACTTGGGTCGACGTAGAGAAGTTCAGAACTGGAAGTAGCACCGTGTTGTTAGCAACAACCACTATAGTATGTGGTAGTGCGATGTGGTGCGTAAGAGTCAAATCAATGAGGGGAGCTACCAGATACGCTCTATCAGGAACAGGACGGGAAGGGCGACAGAGGAATGTACATGGCAGCCTGGGGCGGTAGCCGTAGAGACTCCACGGATCGTAGCCGAGTGCGACTAGGAGGAGTGAAATCGGAGCACAAAGGCAATTCGAGCTGTAAGATACCGGTAGAACAAACGATGAGGGCGGAGTGGGCGGTTAAGAAGTCAATTCCAAGGATGACGTCGTGTGGGCAAGCATCGAGGATTGCGAAGAGAACGGAAGTGTGGTGGCCAGCAACAGTAACGCGGGCAGTGCACATACCAAGTACCGATGTTCGACTTCCGTTGGCAACTCGAACAGTAGAGAACATAGCTGGTGCGAGAACCTTTTTCAGGCGAGATCGAAGTGTAGAACTCATAACAGATACTTGGGCACCAGTGTCAATTAGAGCAGTAACGGCGTGGCCATCAACGAACACCCGAAGTAAATTGCGTCTTGAATTTGTAGCCGGTTGAGGGTTTTCGTTCCGAGTCGTCAACGCAGCGCCACCTCCAGGAGCTGCACTCGTCAGTTTCCCGGGGAATGGGCAGAATAAGCCGGTGACGGAGAGCGGCGGCGTTGAGGGGAGCGTGACGGCCGACCCTGAGGTGACGGTGAGCGGCTGGACCAGTTTCTCTGGGCGACGACGTCAGCGTAGGACGGTTCGGAGCGTGGAAATGAACGGCGAGCTGAAGGGTCCAGAATATGGTCATCCGGAAAACCGGGTTGCGAATAGTGTCCACGGTCCTGACGGCGATCTACATTACGAAAGCTTGGCCGGAAATACGACCTGTTGCGGCAATGGCGGGAGATGTGCCCAACTCGAGAGCAAGAAAAGCAGATTGGTCGATCATCATGCGTGCGCCACTCAGATGGATTTCGGTAGCGTGGTGGAAACCGAGGAGTCGAAGCTGCCGCAGCGACAAGTGGAGCAGAGTGGTGGTCAGCGTTGTGGACGGGAGTGCTCATGGGCTGCGGCATAAGTCTGGCGGGCTGGGGAACCTGGACGCCCAGGTTAGCAAACTCCTGACGTACGACGGCTTGAATAAGCGAGACTGTTGCCCAGTTGTCTTGCGCAGGGGGCTGATAGGAAGCGGGTGCCATGGCTTCCAGCTCCTGGCGAACAATCCTTGCGATATTCGCAGGAGGGGCAAGTGAGCGGGGCGCTGCAGAATCCTCGCAAGACGAAGTCGCAGCAGTGTTTGGTAGTCTCGCGATTTGGTGGGTGATTCGCCTGCTTTTAGCTTGCTCAAATCGCCGGCATTCAGATATGATGGAGTCGACAGTGGTGCAGTTCTTGCACATTAGTATGTTGAAAGCATCATCAGCAATGCCTTTCAACACGTTGCTGATCTTGTCCGCCTCGGACATGTTTTTGTCAGTTTTCCGGCACAGTGCCAGTACGTCTTGGATGTACGTGACGTACGACTCCGTCGATGATTGAACACGTGACGCGAGTTCCTGCCTGGCTGCCATCTGACGAGCAACTGACCGAACGAACAAATCGCGAAGCTTTTGCTTGCATGTGTCCCAGCTGGTTAATTCTTCTTCATGCGTCTCATACCAGGCGCGTGCCGTACCACGTAGGTAGAATAGAATATTTGCCAGCATAAGCGTTTCGTCCCACCTGTAGTGCTTGCTGACGCGCTCAAATAATGCGAGCCATTCTTCGACGTCCGTGCTGTCCGTCCCGGAAAACGTGCCAGGGTCGAGAAGATGGGGGGGAATCACAGGTGATGGAGCCGGCGCGGATGGCGAGGCCTGAGTGCCAGTTTCAGGCATCGCGGCTGGACAAAGCTGGTGTCCACTGCGGAGTTCCAGAGCCGGGTTGTGTGAAGACCCAGCACCTTCCACCAAAAGATGTTACGGGAAAGATTTATTCACCGAGAGCTGGTCTTGCTAACGGCTTAGAAAGCGCACAGTCAAGCAGGCTACCGGGAGAAGCTTCAGAGTCCAACCCACTACAACCACGTTGTCGTCTTCTTCATTTGGGTGCCAATTCAGCTGTGTCGGTGCGACAGTTCCATACACGTATCAATATCATTGAACCTGTAATAGTTTCTTTGGATGGCCTCCTTGGCGTGGCCACTGCACCCTATAAAAAAATCGTGCGAGAGAGCCGGCCCAATATGTTTTCCGCGCTTTGGCATAAAGGAAGACTTTCTGGTGGGTACTTTGGGCAACATCAGCTATGGTACTGTATTCGTTTATTGGCGAGGATGGCACAGGTTAAGAGATGCACATTGGTACTTGTGAACGTGCACTGTCATTTAGTGCACAATCATGCCGTGTTCCCAGCTGGTACAAATTATGGAGGTTTCACTCTTTAACTAGATAATTTAAAGTTACTCATGCTGGTGCCACCACTTCTGCAGAGAATGAAATGGAATGAAAAAATGATCATTACAGAGAAAAAAAATTACATAAAGGTTAAAAGCAGGTGGGTGGGGCCCCTAGTCCAAGGCTCCATTGGCCTCAGCAGCACGTCGCGCCTGGTCCAGGAGTGCCACTTGTGCCTCCTTTTCCTCGCTAGCGAGCAGTCTCCCATGCTCCATCATGAATGTTTTCGCTGGATTCTGAGGCATATTATTTTGGCTGGCCTTAACTCACATTCCCATGTAATGTGAGCAAGTGTTGACTGACCTCCACACCACTGAGCAAGAACCGGCATATGCAATTGGGTGCAACGCATGTTTTAAACTCAGGTGCGGATATGTATTTGTCTGCAGGCGGCACCACTGATGCACTTCTTTTATACATGGCTGAGAATGGGGTGGGGAGTATTGCTGTCACTGTCGACGCTGATATTTTAAGATATCTCAAGGTGTGTGCGGAGCCTGGAGTAGCAGACAGGTATCTGTACGAAGGACAGTCGCTCGGGGAGTAATAGCTCGAGCTGCACTGTCCACACTATCGTTACCCGTTTCTGCTATAATGTAGTAACCCACAATTTAAACTTTTCGAGTACCATCATACAATAAAAAATATGCACCGAATTTCGAAGTATGCGCTAGGAAAAGGATGTCGCTATCCTGTTACCTCTTGAAGGTGAAGCTCCCCAATTTATCGTCTACTTTTTTTTTCTTCACTTGCGATGCAACTACAGTGTAGACCACATATAACGTCACCGCTTATACTACAGAACCGCTTACAATGCGGTCTTTTTTTACTCTCATTTACCCTCCCAATGAACCCCATGTATACGCATACCGCTTATTGTGCAGTCCCCCAAGATGAAACACCAGTTATAATGCGGTTACTGGAAATTGTTTGTGACAAATGCGGTAGCGAGTGCACTTCTATAAGAAGACACACTGGATGCGCCGCTGGGGAGCGAATGATGAGGTCCTTACGGAGGAGGAGGGGACACGGAGTGAACGAACGAAGGGCGGAGGGAAGAAAAAGAAGAAAATGGAAAGAAGACAGTGGGACAATCCTTCCTTCCTCCGTGCAGTGGGACACTAGGCGGGCTCACCTAGTAAGAGAGGAGGACGGTTGTCTTGGTAATGGATAAGCCTTTGCACCGGCGCCACCACGGCTACAGCGTACTACGTTGCTAGCGTGGCTTCAGCCGCCGCCGCTCAACGTGGCACGTGCGATCCTGTCCTTATCAACTGCATGCGCTTAACAGTTTCCTCTCGGGAAAGACGACGAGCTTGCAACAAATATTGCATTTGCTTCTTCGTCCGTAAATTGAAAAAATTTTACGGTTTTACGACGCAAGCTTTCACTTTTGCTGCCAGTGCGCTGCCGTACGTAAGATAGCTTGGCGAGTTGTCGTCGTTGCTGATCTGCCGGCCGAGAACGCGAACTTCGCATCATGCACGCTGTTCTTGGTTCCCTCGTACCGTGATCTTTTTGATGCTGAACTTTCATGTTTTGAACAAACTTTCCACAACATACCAAACGGCAAGCTAGGCCTATTCAGCATTAGTTGCGCTGCGATCAGTAGCGGTTGCGTGAATCTAAGTTGCAGTTTGGTACCGAATTGACAAAACTTTTTGCGGTGAACGCACTTGACGGGAAGGGATGCATATCGTTAATGAAAAAGAGAGCGGCATGTGTAGCGCTCAAACAGTAATTCATGATTCGATTGCGATGTCTTAAATTGGGTGCGCACCCGTGAAATTGAATGGTTGGCGTGTTTCAACGCGTCAAATTTTGGACGTGATTCGACATAGTTACCGTGGTGCGCGATTTCCGCAATGGTGCTTTCACTTAGACCTTCCCCTTTTTCGCGTTCATTTCATTGGCAACTCGTGTCTTTGATGTTACATTCCTTTAACATTCAGAAATCTAAATGTTAGCAAGCCCGCATCGCATGTTCGGATTCTTGGACATGCGAAGCTGCATGGTCAACACGCTTTGCGCGAGTGCAGCTCTTGAAAAAGGTTGGTTTGGTTATAGTGCGGTACCGCTTATAGTGCAATACTGCTTATAGTGCAGATATTCGCGACTCCCGCAACTTACGTTATAAGCGGTCTATACTGTACTTCAAAATCATCTCCAATACTTTTCTTGGCATCATTGTTTATTAGTTCCCATTAAAATTGTGTCTAACAAAGAAAATGAACCTCTACATTTACACTTCTTTTCTGCAATGACGTAGTGCATTTTTTTTATTGTGCTCACCTTTGGCACCAGTGAGCGAGCCATAGAGAAAGTGTGCTCCTCCTGTCTCGGGTCTTGGTAGTGGGCTTGAAAGCACAGGAAGTCTAGCTCCTGGAAAGCATCCACCGTTGCCGAAACATTACACAACCTGCGCAGCCCTCTAGACTCCAGCACCCAAGCACCTTACAACACTTTTTCAAGTAATCATGAAATAGCCTCACATTCAAATATGATTGCCCAAAAAAGTTTTCTAATCTGCCAAGTCAAGCAGAGAAATTTTTTGTGCCTTTTCTACACGTTTTGGTTCCAATGAGCACACACGAGAAGCCGGCGGGGGGGGGGAAACGAAATGGGGGAGAGATGCTTGCTACCTTGAGCACTTCCTCTTCTATCTTTTCTTTGAACACGTGTATGCTCTCTATTGATATGATTGGAAGCACACTAGAGCCATTATCATGGGCAGTGTAGTAGCACGAGAGAGAGATGTAGGGAAAAGCAGCGAGGTTAACCAAGCACATGCTACCCTGCAATGGGGGAGAAGAATGAAAGAGCGTGGGGAAGAGTGGCACGAGGATGCTAAAATCAGTCAATGAGCATTCCCCCTTCACTCATATACCAGGTGATCTCCTTTATGAAGTAATTTGTCAAGAGAATATGGTTAATATTCTCATAAAAGCCTTAACTACCAATCAGAAGCGTTTTCTGATCATATGTGATGCACGGCCCTTTCAGTAACATAGATATGAACAAAATAAAACTAGCCCTTGATAAATCCCCCTTTTTATTTGTTTGTAGCAAATGTTTTTTCCGACAGACTTTACGGCTTCAGTTGGTACATAAAAGTTTATTCATTGGCTGCCTGCTCATAAAAATATTGTGTGCTTCATGATGTTGGTGGGCCAAAAAGAGTGTTCCAAGCTCACTGCCATGGCTACAAGTAATGCTGGTGAATATGCCAAATGAAGTGAACAAGACTCTCGCCATAACTAAATGGGTGAGCATCAGCCCTCAAAATTCAGTCCCTACTCAAGGCTATGGTCATCCACTTTATTTTTTATTTTTTTACATCATAAGGACTAGGCTACACTTCACTCTTTCATTACTGTGCCTATTCAAATTGATCACCAGTGATCGTAGCTTTGGTTCGTCGATTTTGGCATATTAAATTTGTTTCTCGTGGACCCAGCACTTTGTAGTAGTTAATCCAGCCACTCAATTTTCAGAATCAGTTTGAATTTGCCCGATTTGGCAACACAGTGATATTTCAAAAACGTTTGCATGAACCAATGTGCATGTATTGTAGGAAAAATGCACCAGGCTGGTGAACTTAACAAAAATGAGTGCCCCTCGTGATTATGCGACAGTAGCATCATAATCGAAAGAACCTTTGCAAGCCCAATTTCGAATTATAAAGTCAGCTTTGCAATTTAACAGTGTTGAGCAGTAATAATTGCCGGAAATTTATGCAAGCTATTCAGTACAGAGCTGTTGCTGAGAGTTAGATAAAATTTATTTCACAAAGAAATATTTCCAAAGATCTGTTGCATGTTAAAAGTATCAAGTTGGTTTTACCAGCCAGTTTCCAGCAGCTTTTGTTTCGCTTGTATCATTATATCAGACACAGGACTGCATCTAGTGTCGCTAGTCGCTCCTATGGTGTCATCTTCAGGCACACATGGGCCACACCAGCACTGCAAAACACACGCACTGCTTGAAACTGTCTTGCGACCCCACCTGAACTGAGTGAGGACGAGCTTAGAGTCCACGGACGATAGAACGACAATGTTCAGGGTCAGCCTGAGACATCTGCAGCTGTTCATGTTTTGTTTTTTTTAAACCTCAAATTGTCTTCTCCACGGCAAGTGCGTAGCTACTGACCTTTGAGCACAATCTTTTAGCTAGTCTGATTACGTGCGAGGTCCACACTTCACTAAAGTGCGGTGCGCTGGTGCCAGATGCAGAGCTTCTCCCAAAACTAACTAGGAGGCCACTGGAGCACATCTTGGTCCTGACTACGGAGAGCCCGAAATGTTTTAGAACTTCATGCTATAGCGTTCTTCTTTTTAATACGAGGGGCAAAATCCTAAGAAATATGCTTGCATGCATATACAGGAACGCCAACCTAAGCTGAGTGAGGTGGCTCATGGAAAAAGGTTACGCTACACAAGATAGCGAAGTTCATTGTACATCTTGTTTACAGAGGTATTATTCACATCACAGGTATCCATATATATATTTGAACACCTGGAGGCTTTAATCGCAAAAAAAAAACAAAATTTTACTAAGAAAAGTGTTCAAATTCGTTTGTGTCTCAAGAAAAACCAAATAATGCTTCACAGCATGGCGCGAGCAACGAAGCAGCACCTCAATTACGATTTTCTTAGTCTATTAGAATAAAAACATTTCCTACAACATTTATTATTCTTTATACTGTTCCTGGTTCATTTATTTCAAAATGTATATTCTGAATTTTCTTTCTTTTGAATATTTTTGCATTTATAGTATTTTATTGCACTGTTTACCAGCTAGCTCTCATAAATTATACATTATGCACATTTTTTCTTATTCTAAATTATTTTAGGTGCTCTACAAGTTATATTTTTTGGAAAGACCATTCCATTTCATGAAATTTGGTATGCTGCAATGTGTTATGGAGTAATTTTCAAACTGGCAAAAACAATATTCCCGAGCCATACGAAAAATGGCCATTTTCGCGCGGTAACTAAAGAGTTAAGGGCTACAGATGCACTCCTTGGCTTCAGTGGATAGCACAGTTTGCTCAACATTAGAGTGGTACCATCCTCACCTTGGTCATGTGTGGCTCTCGATTAAGCAAGGGTGACACGAGTGCCTCAGTTGTCACCTGCTGCAGGTCCTCCATGTGCCCCAAACGGTGAAGCTCCTGGCACAGCTGTAGCAGTTAGTTGGATTATTCAACATGAATACACAGTAAACACAAAGGCACACAGGGCTGCCTTTGGGAAGGAAAGAAAGATAGAAGGAAAGAGCACAGATCAAAACACAAACGATAAATGCGAGGCCAAACTTGTTTTGCTAAAACCCCCAATGACCCTCAGCAGCACATTCTTTCGGGAGACGACAAAATCATCAAGAGTCACGCACTCAAGTCCAATTTGTCGGGACACCTCGATGAGCAATGCTTGCTGTGTAATAAATGCGGAACCCTCTTGTTCTAGAGTCTTGCAGGAACCACACGGCGTACATAAGGGACTGTCCACAAGTTTCTTTACGTGCGATCCAAACATGATGCAAACAATTATGAGCATTAGTAAAACTGGTTGTTGGGCTAGTTAATGCATGCTGCAAGAAAATTATACCTTCGGCGAAGAATAGGCAAAAGAAAAGAGCATCAACTCACAATTAACTTTATTAATAGAAAACCACTGCAATACATCCTGCATGCCACACATGCACAATAACACACCATACACCATATTGCAAATGTTTTGGAAGAATAAAGTTATTAGTTGACACCCTTTCCTATTGCCTATTCTTCCTCGGAGGTTTGCGGCGTACAATAGTATTGTAATTATGAGCACGTTTGAATCCATAAAAAATAGGTTGTGTGTTTCAGCCAATATTGCCTACTTCAAAGCTAAAACTGATTTCCTCAGCGCACATGCTTCCTGCCCCTCCTCCCTCAATCCAAACAAAGGAGAGGGCAACTGTGGATGCGGGGACAGTGTGAACTGCGAGAGGTAAACGTATTTCCTCAGTAAAATGATAGAAAAGAAAAGCGAGCAAGGATGGTAAGTTAGAAATTTACAAAATGTCTAAGCTTTCATTGGTTTTCGTTGGTATGCCGCATGGATTCAAGAGCCTCCTTGAAACATTTATAGTACCTGCTGGATGTAGTGTGTTGAACTTGTGAAGGTAAAATATTTTCTGTTTCGTGGGAACTAGAACTTTGAGTGAAGTATGCAAATTTGTGTTGGTGAGCTACTGCATGAAAGTGCTGTGCCACTGCTTTCAGTAATTTCTTTGCTGCACCATGTAGACAATTGTGTACAGCACTTGCATTCCTTATTTGTATCGACTGGGAAAAGTAAAATGAATTGAGCTTTGAAGAACCTCGTCACAGAACTGCATATTGTCACGGGGTCGTGACGTGGGCAAAGACAGGAAACTTCGTGTTGGGATTTAACTGTTTATTTGGGCGAACCTGTGCCCGGTAAAGGGAAAGTCTAATTACAGCAGCAGTCTTGCACAGATGGCAGTCTCGGACTGATAGCGGCGAACGCAGCGTCGGCCTTCGATCAACAACTGACAAGCGGCGAAGCGCGTCGGCATTTATACCCTTGCCGTCGAATGTTCTAGCGTTATCGCTGGCGGTGGCGTAGGTTCCAGAACAATCTGTACCGTTCGCACAGTGGGCGTGATCTTATCGAAATGATCTACTACAGTCCGGAACCTTCTAGAAATCTGCAGGCGCGGTTTGCGCCGAGAATCGTGTGGTGTTTCGGAACGATAACAAAAACTTGTGAAATGAAACGTGGCATTGCCCCCCTCTGAAAAAAGGCATCGTCCCGATGCTTTAACTAAAGATGAAGGTACAATAATAATGCAAGAAAGTACAATGAATAAATTACAATACAACAATAATACAAAAAACACTGTTTCAGTTTGTTAACGTGCATGAAACGGCTTGAGGCGCGCGACATGGACGACTTCAGGTCGCGATCGGCGTCGTTGAGAGTTCGTGATGCCGTCGGGGACAACCTCGTAATCAAGTGGGCCGAGACGTCGAACCACCTTGTACGGTCCGAAGTACCGTCGCAGAAGCTTTTCACTTAGTCCACGTCGGCGTATCGGCGTCCACACCCAAACACGTTCACCGGGCTGGTATTCCATGAAGCGTCGTCGAAGGTTGTAACGGTGGCTGTCGGTCGTCTGTTGATTCTTGATACGGAGACGCGCAAGTTGTCGGGCTTCTTCGGCGCGTTGAAGGGTACTCGCTCACATCGAGGTTTTCTTCGTCGGTGACGTTGGGTAACATGGCATCGAGCGTCGTTGCCGGGCTCCTTCCGTAGACCAATTTGTATGGAGATATCTGCGTCGTCTCCTGCACCGCCGTGTTGTATGCGAAGGTCACATACGGAAGAATGGCGTCCCACGTCTTGTGTTCGACATCGACGTACATTGACAGCATGTCGACGATCGTCTTGTTAAGCCGCTCGGTGAGGCCGTTGGTCTGTGGGTGGTACGCTGTCGTCCGGCGGTGGTTTGTTTGGCTGTATGCCAAGATCGCTTGAGTTAAGTCGGCAGTGAATGCCGTTCCTCTGTCGGTGATAAGGACCTCCGGGGCGCCGTGACGTAGGACGATATTTTCGACGAAAAACTTAGCTACCTCGGATGCACTGCCTTTTGGCAGGGCTTTTGTCTCGGCGTAGCGGGTGAGGTAGTTGGTAGCTACCACGATCCACTTGTTTCCGAAAGCCGACGTCGGGAACGGCCCCAGTAGGTCCATACCAATCTGCTGGAAAGGTCGGCAAGGTGGATCAATTGGCTGCAGAAGTCCCGCTGGCCTTGTCGGCGGTGTCTTGCGTCGCTGACAGTCCCGGCATGTCCTCACATAACGAGTGACGTCGGTCGTAAGACGTGGCCAGTAGTATCTTTCTTGTATCCTCGGGAGCGTGCGGGAAACACCGAGGTGCCCTGCCGTCGGATCGTCGTGCAGGGCCTGCAGGAGTTCTGGTCGCAGAGCTGAAGGCACCACAAGAAGGTACTTAGCTCGAAGCGGTAAAAAGTTTTTCTTTTGTAGAAGACCGTTTCGTAGAAAGAACGACGCAAGTGCGCGCTTGAATACCTTCGCGACTTCGGCGGTCCTGTCTTCGAGGTATTCCATTAGGGCTTTAAGTTCCGGGTCGGCCCGCTGTCGTTCAGCGAAGTCGTCGGTAGTTATCGTTCCCAAGAAGTAGTCGTCATCCGAGTCGTCGGCTGGCGGTTGGTCGACAGGCGCACGAGAGAGACAGTCAGCGTCGGAGTGTTTTTTGCCGGACTTGTAAATGACAGTAATGTCATATTCTTGAAGTCTCAGGCTCCATCGTGCGAGGCGACCTGAAGGGTCCTTCAAGGTGGCTAGCCAACACAAGGCGTGGTGGTCGCTCACAACTTTGAAGGGCCTGCCGTAGAGGTAGGGGCGAAATTTCGACGTAGCCCAGATGATGGCGAGGCACACCTTTTCTGTTGTGGAATAATTTGCTTCTGCTTTAGATAGCGATCGGCTGGCGTAACTAATAACCCTTTCAAGTCCGTCAGCCCTCTGCACAAGAACGGCGCCAAGACCTACGCTGCTTGCGTCAGTATGTATTTCTGTCTCGGCGAATTCGTCGAAATGGGCAAGTAACGGAGGCGTCTGGAGGCGATGTTTAAGCTCCTGGAAAGCGTGTTCCTGTGGCGTTTCCCACTTGAACTCCGAGTCGGCCTTGGTAAGGTTAGTGAGAGGATCAGCGACGCGGGCGAAGTTTTTCACGAACCGCCTATAATAGGCGCACAGGCCCAGAAATCGGCGCACGGCCTTCTTGTCAGTGGGCGGCGGGAAGTCGGCGATGGCGGCTGTTTTCCGTGGATCGGGACGAACTCCAGACTTGCTGATAACGTGCCCCAGAAACAAGAGCTCCTCATACGCAAATCTGCACTTTTCTGGCTTCAGTGCGAGTCCGGACGTCTTGATGGCTTGAAGTACAGCTTCAATGCGCCGAAGATGCTCGTCGAAACTCGAGGAAAACACGACGACGTCGTCCAAGTACACAAGGCAAGTCTGCCACTTCAATCCTGCGAGTACTGTATCCATAACGCGTTGAAAAGTTGCAGGCGCTGAGCAAAGGCCGAAGGGCATCACCTTAAACTCGAAGAGGCCGTCCGGAGTTATAAATGCCGTCTTCTCTCGGTCTCTTTCATCGACTTCGATTTGCCAATAGCCAGTCTTGAGGTCCATTGACGAGAAGTACTTGGCGTTATGGAGCCGATCAAGTGCGTCGTCTATTCGTGGGAGAGGATACACGTCCTTTCTTGTGATTTTGTTCAGGCGGCGATAATCGACGCAGAAACGTAGGATCCCATCCTTTTTCTTCACTAACACCACGGGGGATGCCCACGGACTCTTGGACGGCTGGATAATGTCATCTCGCAGCATTTCATCAACTTGTCTCTTCATAGCCTCACGTTCTCGCGTCGAAACCCTGTACGGACTCTAACGGAGTGGTCTGGCATTTTCTTTGGTTATGATTCGATGTTTCGTGATTGGGGTCTGCCGAATTTTCGATGACGACGAAAAGCAATCTTCGTATTGCAGGAGCAGGGCCTTGAGCTGTTCTTGCTTATTGTTCGGAAGTCTGGGATTGACGTCGAAAGCTATGGGAGGGGCTTGGTTCCTCTGAGCAGGTTCCGCAGAATCGGCGAGGGCGAAAGCACTGGTGGCTTCGACAATTTCTTCGATGTATGCGACCGTTGTTCCTTTGTTCACATGTTTGTACTCATTGCTGAAATTCGTGAGCATAACCGTTGCTTTGCCTCCCCGCAGCTCTGCAATTCCTCTTGCGACGCAAATATTTCGGGTGACCAACAGATGCTGATTGCCTTCAACGACGCCTTCCAAGTCAGGTGATTTAGGAGCGCCGACTGAAATAATGACGCTTGAGCGAGGCGGAATGGTGACTTGTTCTTCCAGCACATTCAAGGCATGGTGTCCTGACGGCGTGCGCGGCGGTAGTGCTTCTTCTGTGGATAACGTTATCGACCTTGTTTTTAGGTTGATGACAGCACCATGGAGGCATAAGAAGTCCATGCTAAGGATGACATCTCTCGAGCAACGCTGTAGGACTACGAAGTCTGTAGGATAAATACGGCCGTTAATGGTGACTCTCGCTGTGCAGATTCCTGCAGGCGTTA